GAGACTAGTAATTTCTCTGCCAATTTAAGGACCTTCTAGTGTTGTGGCCACTGAGTGTCTGTGTGAATGCTAGCTGGATCCCATATGCCTTGCTGTGAATAGATGCCCTTCTGAAAATACGGATCTTGGAGAGCTTCTTCTGTGCTTTTACTTCTCAGGAGACTGTAACCATAAATACACATTGTAATATATTGCAGACCACATCTCAGGAACTTCTGGTGTGGTGTAGCAGTTAGTCTTTAGGTTTACTACCATTTCCTAGAGATTATATTTAACACAGCAGCAGGACTGCCGTTAGTCCCTGACACCTTTATAAAGTAGTAAGCAATTCTCTTCAGTCTACTGGTTTCTGCTACTTCCTCCTCTGAAGTCAGACTCTGGGAAGGAAACACAGGGAATGCCTTCTGTCTTGCTACAAGGCTCTGCTGTCTGTGTTTCTCTTCGTCAGCACGTTTCTCCTAACCTAAATGATATTTTCCATTTTTTCCCCATGTTTTTAAAGTTGTAGCAGGACTACATATATCTTGTAGCACAAGTCTTGTGTGTGCTTTACCAGATCAATAATCTCCAAATTGCTATTAGTCTGGCAAAACATGAAAGAATATGTCAAAATGACAGAAGATTAATTTAAGAGTAGGTGTAGCCAAAGCATGCTGCTCTTTCTCCGGACCCTGGGAACTCTGTCTCTCTGCAGGAGGGATCATGTTGCAAGCCCTGGCTCATGAGAGCTTCCCAGGGTGGATGAGGTGGTCCAGAGACAGAGCATAAGGCTGGCTATCTGCTGCTTCCTTGTGCTTTTTCATCAGATGGAGCTAATGGTGCTGACCTGTGTAAACTCCTTAGCAGTATATACGGGTGGAGAGTACTGCGACAAGTTTAATGTTATGATTTGTTATTAGGGAAAGGCTAAGGTTCAACAGACAGAAAAGTATGATGGTTGGCTACAGCACTACCTGTTTGGTATTAGCTCCCCATATGTTGCGGGCAGACAGCAGTGCTGAGAGCTGGAGTCAGCTGTGAAAGCCACAGAGTCACGGGGAGCCTGGGAACAGTGGGAAAGCAGTGAGGCAGTCCTGGCCTTGCTTGGTGTGTATGTGCTGAGAGAAGGCTGGACTCAAGGCTGTGACATGAGCATGAGAAAATGTGTGCACACAAAAGCCTCCTTGTGAGTCTTACGGCTCTGCCATGGGATAATTGCAGCTACCCTGTCCCACCAGGAGCTTTATGGGGGAAGCTGAGGTTAATGCCAGCCTTGCCCTGCCACCCTGGCCATAGGAACACTACCAGGTCTGCACTACATTATTGACAATGGTCTTGCCTTGTATTGTCACTGGGAGCTGCTCAGCATGTGACAGACTGAAAACAGCTCCAGCTCTAACATTGTCAATGAGATCTGTAAACTGACTAAAATCCCTTGTTGTGAGTCTGGTAGTGACACCCAGGGACAGGCTGCATTGTTCCTGTCTTGGATTTCAGCATCCTTTAACTTCTAAGAGACCACCTCTGGTGCTGCACTCGTGCATGTTGTGCCACAGCTCCAAGGAGGAGACCTGGCTACATCCAAGCATCAGAGCTGCATGCAGGAGCAGACCCCAGACCAGCCCTTCAACCTGCTTCCTTTGCTGTTATTAGTCCCTCATAACCTAACCAAACCAAGGAGACCTTTTTGCAGCTGTGATGATGGCATGTGAAACAGAGGTCCTGGCACATCATGCATGAGACAGGCATGCAGCTGAAGAAGCAGAAATACTACAACTGGCCTGAAGAAAACACAAATAGAAGCGTATGTGTGTGAGAGAGAAGACTAGAAGGAGCAACAAATCATGGGTTAAAAGAATGGTCTGTGTTGATAAGCAAGGATGTGACTGACTGCACTAAAACTGGGTAAACGCTGACAAACGTGGTGTTTGCGACAAGCTTGGCAACCTGCACCCTGATAAGCCTCGCATGGATGGTCTGTCAGAAGAAGGCGTGAGTGCTGATAAAGTCCCCATGCAAATGACTCTTTGAGTAAAAAAAAACTGCGCTCTAATGACAGATGGATTACAGCAAGGTCTCCGCACATCCCATGTGCAAGTCCTCCTCCTCCTCTCCCAGCAGGAAGGCAGACTGTTGGAGTTAAGGCACCCGAAATGAAGGGGGAGAGAGGGGAAGGCACTACCTGTCCTAGGATTTTGGGGGGATTGAGGTAAGAGATTTCAAAGCCAACGGATCATGCCGTAGTAGCTGTTAGGTCCTAAAGATGGCAAAAGATCTGCTCAAAACTTTGTAGCTTGCCACCAAGGAGAAACCCAAGGGGTGGGCATCTGGCAACCTTGGTCCCACCTTACATAGGATCCTACCAGAGCACCTGGGTGAGCTCGGTGCCTGAGTATGGGAGGAGTGAGCACGGGTGAGAAAATGAGCGTGACTGAAACCATTTATTGAAACATCTTCCTGTTCCATGAGGTCTTGTGCTGTTGCTACATTAATTTCCTGCATCATAGCGACATTAAAAACTACTCCATTCTTAAATGATAAAAAGGTGAGAAATCTTTATTTATAACTGGTAAGCTCATCAGAGTTTAAGAGTTGTGGGTTTTGGTGTGATGGGTGGCACAAAAACGTAATCATCAGGTCCAAACTGAGCTGTGAGAGGCTGAAACTGATACGGCAAAAACATGAGACAAAACAAAACTGGAGGGCAAGGAAAGCTGTCTGATGCTTTCAGTGATGGAAGGTGCAAAGCTGAAGGTACTCACTAGCCTTTTACCTTCACCATTCCCACCCAAAGTTGACATCCCATGTGTCTGTGTAAAGGGTGAGCAGTCACAAGCCCAGGAGGCGACCCACTGCTGAAAGTCATCTGAACAAGAGTGCTGTGTGTGCTCAGCCAGTTTATAAATGGATTTTAAAGCTATGGCTCCCACATCTGTTCTGAGATGGCAGCCACACAGATTTCTCTTTGCAGAGTTACCATAAAGCTCCTATTTGTCCTTCAGCCTGCTAGCTCTCATTTCCACACTTCACATCTCCTTAAGCCAGCCCCACCTCTTTGGGATCAAATCCTGCTTTCAATTAGTGTTATTGTCCGTATGAGTGTCTGAAATACGAGTTATTTTTCTCCTGGTTTTCTTTTTCCAAGTTTTATTGTTTCCTGTGTAGGATGGTGGTTTCCATAGATACCTTGGATATTATTTATCTGTCCACCCTGGATGTGCAGTTCCTTCACAATGAATTATACTGCACTTTGCCACTTCTGCTTGACACCTTTGATCCTTCATCCATATTAGTGCTATACTGAGCATTTTAATGCTGTTGTTCTAGCATGTCTTACCATCTTGATATCTTATCATCTTATCATCATGTTGCCTTGTGCTTTTACATACGGCTTTCAATCCACATGATAGAAGTCCTGTCCCAGCCAGTTTTAAATTAAAACCCAGTACATTGCATGTCTATTTTTGGATTTTGTACTGATAATTGTTGGAAACTTTAGCTCAGCTTTTCTCTGCTATGGGTAACTGTTAAACAGAGCAGTGTTTTGTTATTTTTGTTCTCCTTCCCCCCTCAGCTCTCCCCCTTGAGATATGTTATCAAAGGAAAAAGTCTGGCAAAGTATTCAGGATTGTTATGGCCCTATCTGGGAGCTCAGCTAGCACTGACTGGTATTGTTTGAGGTGACTCTTGCATGAGTTTTCTCTCTTTATCCTGTTCCTACCTTGTCCCAGAGGAAAGCATATGTCCTGTATAACAGAAGTAGATGGTAATATGAGTCACTGCTTGGTATTTAGTGGTGAGAAAGTTGACCGCTATCAATCTTCCCAAATCCTGGAACAAGCCAAGAAAAATCTGGACACAGCATAAGTTAGTGCTCTCTTCTTCACGACTATTCTGCCCTTATCGGGCTATTTACTGCACAAGTGGGGCTGTTCTGCTGATTCAGCATCACAAGAAGTGATGCCAGTGCAGCTCCAGGCCACACTTAAGGAATTACAAAGAAGACCATTAGAGTCACAAGTCTTCTCTTTAGCTGATTTACAAACGGATTTGTTTTCTTTCTTGCTCCTTTGGTTCAGAGCTGTTAATAAATAACCTTTTCAATGCTCCTGCAGAAAACATGAGGAAAGAAGTCTGTGCTAAGAGCTGCAGCTGGGCTGGGAATCCCGTGGCTGGAAGGTGGGCTCTGGCTTGAGCCTGGGAGCTCCCATACACAGAGGGAGAATGGTGCTAGGAGAGCATGGGAAATGCAGCAGACCTGTAGCTGCTTTTTTTTTTTTTTTTTTGGGGGGGGGGGGGCAGGTTTGTTGGCCATTCCTGCTGCTGGGAGGCTGTGCTCATCTTAACAGAGCCAGACAGCAGCTCTTCTCCATGCTATAAATCTGTCCTCTTTGCCGAAGTGGCCATGTCACAAGCTTGTCACTTCTTCAGCTGGTAACCTCCATTATTTTGGGTTTTTACAGTGGAGAGTGTTGGTCTCTGTCCCAGTCCCCGGTGCAGTATCTGCAGATGCCTCACCCAGAGGCGAGGGTGGTTCAACGCTTCCACAGCAGCACCTTGCATGTAGCACTCAGGGCAGCTCAGACACTTGTCAGAAGGATGGGTGGTTGCTGTGACCTTCCCTTGTCCTTGTTGCCACTCTGTGCCCATGCTGCCTTATCCAAAATAGTTCATGTTTTTATTTTGAACTGTTTGAGGCAGGGACTTTGAGGGCGGGAGTGATGAAGACATACCAATTGAAGGCCAAACTACAGCTTGATTATAAATGGGTTTCTTTTCCTGAGCCTAATTCTCCACAGAATTCACTGCATGTCCCAGTAATAAATAATCTGAACTTCAGAGATTAATAACATCCTGTGCCAGCCCATTCACCCAGTAAGTCTGCACGAGGCTCCAGCCCTTGCAAGATGCTCTTTTAACCATGAAAATTTAGATTCATATTTAACTTATTATCTACATAACCTCCAAGAAGTATTTCTTCTCTTACGCTCAGGAGCTCTGTCAAGGCCTGTGCCCTGCAACAGTCTTTGGTCCCATGCTCCTTCCCACTGGTTGTCCTGAGAAATACCACAGGGTAATTTGTTTCCTGCTATTTGAAATGGAAATTGTAGCAGCACGAGGAACAGAGCATGATATTCATGCCAAATATCATGAGCTGAATTCTCCTCACGGTTTGTGGGAATCCTACTTATTAAGGCTGACCTCTGAGAAATCAGTATGTTTTTCCACAAAGCTTAGACAGTGGATGTACTCTCAGCAGGAGACAGAAACTATCCCCGCTGTTCCCTGTCCTGTGCTGTGCAATGAGGAATGGAGATACCAGTGCTGACAGCTGGAGGTATGGGGGCGATTTGGGAAGTGTTTAACTAGACAGCTCTCTTTTTTATGCATGCAGTCTTAACTTTGGCTTACTGAAAGGAGGCGGTGGGGCTGCTGCTCTGCCCTGGATAGCAAGGGGCCTTTCGCTTCATCTGCTAGAATTAATTGCAGAGGGAAGATGCCTGCAGTTTCCTCTGCTGCAGATGAGTACTATGCGCTTTAAGGGAGGGAAAACTCACTGGGTCTCTCGTAGGCCTGAGATATGCTCCTCTAAAAGAGCAAACACCTGTGCTGGAAATCACACTTGCAAGGGGTGGCACAATCCAGGTGTAAGCAAAATCCTAGGCACAGGTATGCATGACAGTGGTCCCCACCATATGCATTCATATGCAAGGCTGCTGGGGAATGGGTACCATGTGTCTCTCCGCATCCATGGCCTCATCTTCCAGGGACTTTGCCAGTGGCTCTGCTGATGCTGCCCCAGCCTGGAACAGTGTTTGTGCTTCTGCGATCGGTCTCCAATGTTTTTCAGTGCTGACTGGGAAGTGAAACTGAAGGAGAAAAGCTGGTTGCTTTGCTGTGCAGAAACACTGAGGAAGCTCGGGTCCCCCCGCCGCAGCAGCACAGGCGGCTGCTCTGTTTGCTCACGTGTGGCGCTTTGGGCAGCCGTGGTGTTTTTTTGGAAGCTGGGGAAGTGAGCCCTGAAAGCAGCAGTGTTTGTTGCTCAACACACGAGGCAATCCCCAGGATCTGTGATTCAGAGAAAGACGTCCTTGAGATGTGGCAAGAGGCTTGGCAGATGCTTCAGGGCAGGAGAGGCTGTCAGTGGAGAGCGTGTACAAGGAAACTGGTGGCTACCGGGAGGGTGTGTTTTTACACTGCTCTAAGCATCAGGAAAGGAGCGCGGTGGGTGGTGAGGGGTTTCAGTGCATTTCCTCTGTGGTCATTCCCCCTGCCAGAACCTCCTGTTCGGGCAGCGGTATTTACAGTGCTGAGGACTTTGTGTTTTCCAGGAAGTTTCTGAACTTGCTGATCTAATGTGGGTATTGGGGGGGGAACGTTGCTCGAGGCTGTTTCCTCTCTTTTGCCGTGACAAATTCTACATCCCTCTGGTGTGGCTGGCTGATGGGGCACAGGGAAGGGTGAGCTATACCGAGTTGGTGATGTGTGAGTCACAGTCTTCCTATTAAAGCAATGGCCCTGTGGTCTTTAGCAGCAACAATAGTAATTAAACAGTTGGAGACAATAGCTGCTTAGGGCTGAACTGGGAGCAAGTGACCAAAGTGGGTGAAGGATAGTGCCCATCCCCAGCCAGGATGCTGGAAACAGGGAAGGGTTTGACTGTCTATATAAGGATGAGGGAAGCTGATATGATGGTGGATTTTAGTGAACGACAGAGTAATTCCTCAAAACTGAGGGTGATCATCTCATAATTTGCAATGCATTACTTCCAGCACAAGAGAAATGTGTACTGGCCCAAATCTTGACAGAGAAAAAAACATTGCTATGAGAGTTATAAATTATTACACGAATAATGCACACTTATTCTGTGTCAACAACTAAGATCTAGTAGCTTTTAAAAGAAGTGATTGCTCAAATTTAAAAATACTTGAACAGAATCAGCAGAATATTTAAAATAGCCAAATAAGAATGTTAATCGGAAGCAGCCTATTCACTTACTCTGTTCTCCAAAAGCCTTAATCCAACAGTTGAAAGTTATGCTAATTTGAAAAATAACAACATCTCTAAAAGATACATATTTAGGGGGAGAAAGGAAGCTGCAATTAATGCAAATGCAAAGTTTGAAAGCATAGAAGATGGCCAAAATAAGCATAAGGAAAAAATCATGGCCAGAGATTTAAGAGCAGCAAAGAAGCATTTCAGGATATTGAGCACAAAAGGAAGCCTAGCAACATCACTGGCCCATTGCAAGTCAGCATATTAGAACTATCAATAATAACAACACTGAAAAGGTGTCAGTGCTTGATGCTTGGTTTTCCCTCAGAAATTAAAACAAATGTCTTCATATCAGGAAGTATATTCAAGCAATAACTCAGGTGATAAGCGGGGGGAGAGGGGGCATCTTCAACTCACTGGATATTTTCTGATGAAACTTCAAGCCTTGTGGGTAACAGCAATAAATCTTCTCCAGTTGAAATAGAGCTTTGATGAGCTGGTAGCAAATTAATACCAGAAGTTTCCTGGCAGAAGACTGATGTTACTGCTAACAATTGTTTCTTCTAACCTGACAACCTCTTTTATGTCTGAATCCTAAAGAAATGAGTACAAATAGGGTACAGGCTTTAGAAGCCCAGTAAACATCATATAAATGTGAAAATTAACTGTCTAAATATTACTGTGTCAGCAGTATTCTGCCACTTGTTGCTTGTATTTGAGAGTATTGAGTATCTTGATCTGACTGCTGGGATGTAAACAGAAGAATATCTTCCTATAGAGGAACTATTTAATGAACAGGCATTAGGAAAGCTTTGGCTCGTCTAAGAGCAGGCTGTGTATAACAGGGAGAGGGGCTGTGATGAGGGGCTGTGATGCGGAGACGGAGGTAGAGCAGCCAAGAGGCTGAGCATAGCACCCAGCACTGCCGGGTGCCATAGGAAGGTCTCTGACAGCAGAATCCACTTTGTGCAGAGGGTGAATGGGGGATTTGTTGGAGGGGTAACCTAGGTCTCAGGGCTCCTGCCCAGAATACCCTGGACATCACCCCTCCAGCAGTAAACCTGCACTGCAGGCTGGTGTAAGTGGGGCACTGACACTGCCCTGAGCACAAAGTCCTTCTGTGCTACTGCTGGCTGCGCAGGCGGCTGCAGAAGTGGGAGAAGAGGCCTGTGTGCTCTGCCCGCTCCTTTGTGTCCATCTCTTGCTGCTGCTGCTCGGCTTTTGCACCAGCTCTCCAGGATTGCCATGTGCTTTTCTTCCTTCCAGGAAAACAGGGTGACTTCAATGTGTCTTGTGCAATTTCCCAGGGTCGTATCCCAGGCAGAACTCTAAACACAGCAAAAGGATGAGATGCGCCTCCCCCAAGCAATGTTGTACATACGGATAGCATAGGGCAGGCTGAATTACGTCTGAATGCAGCCTAGAGCTTTGATGGGGGAAGGAGGGAGCAGATATATTCAAATGTATCTGTATCCCATGAGGAGAGCATATGCATTGCACTGGTCTTTGCTAACAGTATGGCTTATGAGTGAATCACCCCCTTTGGCTGACTCCCTGCCTTCTGAATGGAGGAAACAAAGCTGGGAGAAAATTCAGGGGCCACCCGTGCCCTGAGGCGGGATCAGCTAGAACAGCACTGGCAGACAGAGACTTCATTTGTCTGAAGACAGCGAACGTGTCTCCCTTGCTCTTCTCTTTATAAATGAAACAACCCAATTCTTTCAATGTTTCCTCATAGGTCAAGTTTTCAGACTTCTGATCTTTCTTCTCATTCTCTTCTGGAGCTTCTCCAAATGGTCTACTCTTTCCTGAAAGGCAGTGTCCAAAATTGGGCATGGAACTTCATAGGAGTCTCTACTAGCATTAGATGGAGGGAAGGATTACTGCAAACTGCTATAGCTGCAAGAATGTTTTCTCTGGGAGAGCTATTTAACTGATTGCTCACCATGCTGCTGTCTTTGGGCAATGGCTGTTGTCTAAATGTCGTATTTACCCTTGTCCTTACTCAAGTGAGTTGGATGTTTTCCCCAGGCTCTCCCCTATTTACCAAACTTGTTTTGAATTCCAGTCCTATGTATCAGTGTGTTTTTGCTCCCAACTTGGTATTAGCACAGACATAGGTGTACTCTTCATCTTCCAGTTCACTAACACATGTGTGTGCAGAGATGGCACACACTAGTTCAAGCACTATGCCCATCTGCGTAGCCTAGACTCATAGGAGTCTGCTGAGGTTTGACGTATTTAGGGCTGTGCGATTTTAAAGTATCAAATGTCTCTGAAGGATGGCATACAAAAAATCCATACTACATTGTTTGGATTATCAGTTTCACTGACATTTCAGTGTTTGTGCTTCAGCTCTCATAACTATTTAATCCAGAACACTTATAAGTATTTAATCTGGGATAACATAATCCAGTAAATTTATACCCAGTGTATTTATAACTGTATGTCGCACCACAAGGAGGGTCAGAGATCACACCAGTATTTAGGCCATGATCTTTGCCAGATGAACAATTAAAAGTTGGAGCAGAGCCTGTTCCACATAACAGCTGTAAAAAGTGATGTAGAATCCTGAGCTGGAGCTTGAATTCTAACTTCAACATTTCCAGTGTCTTGCCCTGGTATTTTGAAATAAAACCTCTTAAACCAAAGCAATTCCCTTACTATATATGTGCTTGTATCTATATAATAAGATAAACCTGAGACTTTTGCCAGCCTAAGAAAAAACTTCCAAAATGTTCACCCAAAACAGGTGATATACATTACTTTGCAGCAAAAGCTACCTAGGTAGCTTGGACAAGAGCTTGTTTGAATGAAAAAGGCAGATGAAGAATGAGTAAGAAGTTAGATGGGGACAGAGAAAATTTCAGGGAAGGGTTGATAAATGAAGTAGTGTGGCTCTTCCACAGTGTGTTTATGGACTTGGGTGTTTGGTTGTGGTAGGTCTGAAGGTAGAAGTGCCTTTTAGGTAGTGTCCCTCAAAACCTGATGCAAATTCGGCAATCTCACCCAGTGTGCAATTCAGCCTGAAAAAAGTAATGACTACCACAGTCTTATTTTCCTTTGGCAGAAGGATAATGTGTGTGTCCCCTGTCCACCTTGAACAGAAGCACTGACAGCTCCCATCCCCTTTCGCTGCCATCACTGCTATCAGAATTTAATAGACTTGAATTCCTTCAGTTAGTAAACGCGCACAGGCTGCACTGCCAGAGCAAGCCTGTCTACTGAGTGTGGATGATGTTTGTCTGCAAGCACTTCCTGTGATAGATGGTCCTTCTGCTCAAGCAGCCTACCTTGTGCTATGGAGCAGGTCACAAGTGCTGGGTGCTGTCATGGTTTAAG